GTGATGAGCCACTCACTGTACTCCAGCCTGCACGACAGTGAGGCCCTGTCTCAAAAAAACAATAAAAGACATTTTTTTTTTTTTGAGTTGGAGTCTCACTCTGTCGCCCAGACTGGAGTGCAGTGGCCGCTCCCGGCCACCGCAGCCTCGACCTGCTGGGCTCCGGCGATCCTTCCGCCTCAGCCTTCCGAGTAGCTGGAATTACAGGCATGCGCTACCATGCCCGGCTGATTTTTTGATTTATTGTAGAGATGAGGTCTCGCTGCCCAGGGGGGTCTGAACCCGCGGGCTCAGGCAATCCATTCACCTCAGCCTCCCAAAGTCGCGGGATTACAGGCTGAGCCACCGAGCCCGGCTGGTTTTTAAAAAAAGGAACAGTTGCATATTCACATGCAGAGCAATGTAGGTGGACCTCTACTTCAGACCATAAACAAAAATAACTCAAAATGGACACTATCCTGAAAGTGAAAAGAAACTCATGGAATGGGAGAAAATAATTACACATCATGTGTTTGAAAGGGAGTTTGTATCATAATAGATAAATCACTGGCTGGGCTTGGTGACTCAGCCCTGTAATCCCAGCTCTTTGGGAGGCCGAGATGAGTGGATTGCCTGAGCCTGTGGGTTCGAGACCAGCCCGGACAACTTGGCAAGATCTCATCTCTACAATACATAAAAAATTTAGCCGGGCATGATAGCGCGCGCCTGTAGTTCCGGTTATTTGGAAGGGTGTGAGGCAGAAGGATCACCGGAGCCCAGCAGGTTGACGCTAGGGTGGCCATGAGCGTGCCGCTATACTTCAGCCTTGGTGACTGAGTGAGACTCCAACTCAAAAAAATAATAAGTTAATAAAGAACTTTTAGAATTCATTAATAAAAAGATATTCCAATTTTAAAATGGGGAAAGGATCTGAATAGATAATTTTTCATAGAAGATATACAAAATAGGGCCAAACTGGGAGGATCACTTGAGATCAGGAGTTCAAAACCGGCCTGGGCAACATAGCAAGACCCCATCTCTACAAAAAATTTGAAAATTACACAATGTGGTAATGCTACCTGTAGTCCTAGCTACCCCAGAGGTTGGGGTGAGAGGATCACTTGAGCCTAGGAGTTCAAGACTGCTGTGAGCTATGATCATGCCACTGTACCCCAACCTGAACAACAGAATGAGACCTTGTATTAAAAAAAAAGAAGTTGCACAAATGGCCTATGAGTTTGTGAAAAGATGCTCACCATTATTAGCCATTAGGGAAAATGCAAATTACACCTGTAAAGAGATACCACTTAACACACACTAGGGTGACTATTTGAAAACACCAGCCTTTATATACTATGAAGTGTTCATGAGGATGTGGAGAAGTTGGAACTCCACTGGTAGTGTAAAATGGTTCAACTGCTTTGGAAGACAGTCTGGCAGTTAGAGTTACCATGTGACCTAGCAGTTCCATTCATAGATCTATACCCAGAAGAAATGAAAGCAAAAACTTGAGCATGAATGTTCACAGAATTATTCACAATGACCAAAAGGTGTAAACAACCCAATGCACAGCAGCTGATGAATGGATCAGTATAATATTGTATAGCCATACAATGGAGTATTATTCAACATAGATGAACCGTGAAAATAAGCTGCATGAAAGAAACCAGTCACAAAGGCCACATACTTTTTTTTAGGTGAGAAAATATAGTTTATTTAAAAGTAAATTAGAGAGAGAAGATTCTCTCTCTAATTCCTCCCCAAGGTGGGGAAGGGGGCCAAAGCCAGGAAGCATGGCGACAGCCATAGCTCAAAGACCACATGGCCACACCAGTCTAGCAAGGCTATAGCCAAAAATACTCTTAAAATGCAATGGTTATACAACTATGAATATACTAAAAATGATTAAACTGCACTTTAAATAAATGGTATGTGAAATTATATCTCAACATTATTTTAAAAAATTCAGATATACAAGTTATCTTAAGCTTGCACATGTTCATAAATTCTTAAAAAGCCTGCCTCGAAAAATTTTAAACTATAGCCAGAATACTAATTTAATTGCCAAGTGGAAATACTTTCTAGTCATCAGAATTGTCTAAGGAGAGGCACAGACCTAGTATCTAGGTACCGGAGGGTAACTAGAAAGTTTGCGGAAACGGAATCAGATCACGGGATATGGACATGTGTTATAGGGCCTCTATCCAAACCTTGATGAAGCCCAATGACTTCTTTCTGTGTCCATATTATGTGTGCTGCTATTGTATGATAAATATTTGGCCGTCATAGTGGTTCATACCTGTAATCTCAACACTTAGGGAGGTAGCGGTGAGAGAATTGCCTGAGCCCAAGGGGTCAAGACCAGCCTGGGCAACTTGGTGAGACCTTATCTCTACAGTAAATCAAAAAATTAGCTGGGCGTAGTGGCACTCATCTGTATTTCCAGCAATTTGGAAAACTGAAATGGAAAGATCGCCTGAGCCCAGCAGATCAAGGCTGCCATGGCCACGAGCATGCTACTACACTCCAACCTGGGCCACAAAGTTGAGTCTCCCCCCTTCAAAAAAAAAAAAAAGAATATGTGTTTTTCCCCAGGTTCCTGGAACAGAGCTTCTGGGGACCCTTGGAATTTCCTGAGTGATGGGAATGTCTTTATTAAGCTAATGAGGTGATTTACAGTTAGGGAGAGCTTCATAGCTTTGGGATGGGGGCTGGTCCCCAGAAAGACCAACCGTGTCCCAAGACGTTGGGACTCTGAGTTAGCCAGACTTCCAAGGAAGGAAGGAGACAGGGCTGGAAATAGAACTCAAATATTGGGTTATGATTTAATCAATGATAACTACATAATGAAGCCCCAGTAAAAATTCTGGACACTAAAGCTCAGTGGTGCTGCCAGGTTGAGAAACAGATGTGCAAGGAGGGAGATGTACCCTGATTGCATGAGGAGGGGGGTACAGAAGCTACTTTTTTCTCACAGACCCCCACTGTATGTATGCTTGATAATAACACCGGAATATTAAGTAGAATGCTTTCCCGAGTTCTGAGTCATTTTACTGAATGATCAAGCCTGAAGGGGCTGTGGGAACCTTCCGTATTGGTAGCTAGTTGTTCAGAAGTGTGGGTGATAGGGGTACCTCTGCAGTAGGGGCATTCTTATGGAAGACTGAGCCCTTAGTTGGTGGTAGTTAGTGCCACAATTAAATTGCACACCCAGTAGGGTTGAAGCAATAGCTAGAATCTCCTTCCCCTGGATGGCACAGAGTAAACCTTTGCCAGATTCCTTGCTGCTTGGTTTCTTCTTTTATAGAGTCCATGTGAATCAAACTTCATTTGTTAAAACATATTTTGAGAATAAAATGCAATTGATTAGGTTAGGTACTCGAGGGTAACTAGAATGATAAGATCCTATAAAATCTCGTTGAGGTATCATTCCAAAATGTTTATAGTTCTTATGTTTTCCCCCTCAGGAGTTTTGTGTCTGTGTTGTCAAATCTCTTGACTTTTTTTTTTCTTTATGTTATGTGAATAATTAGATAATCACAGCAGAAAAGAGGTCAGGCCAAGATTAGAGCACTGTCTGATTCTCTAGCACAGCCCATGTATTTATAACCACTTGCTACACTTTTCTGCAACTGGATCACTGTTGTACCTCTGTCCCCTCATCAAAAACAAGAGGGAGGAAACAGATTTAAAAATTGGGGCTTTCTAAGAAACAAATGCAGAGGAGAGGTCAGTTTCTATATTAGGGAGGGACTGAAGTTTTTAGTCATTTGAACAGTTCTTTGTTGTGTGCCCTTAGATCTTAAAGTGAAAATACAAGTAATATTTGTTGTCCTATACTGTAAGAACAACAATGTGATCACACAGAGGTACCAATTACAGCATATATTTTTTGGTATTTATTTTGAGTAAATATGTTTGGTTATGAGTTTGTTGATCTTAGATTATTTAAAATATTGGTGTTTCTTCGGAGTTTAAGTTCATGTTTCTTTAATTGAGTAATGACAGGAAATTTCTTGAAGGTTTTTTTTTTTTTTGAGTTAGAGTCTCACTCTGTCACCCAGACTGGAGTGCAGTGGCCACTCCCGGCCACCGCAGCCTTGACTTGCTGGGCTCTGGCGATCCTTTCGCCTCAGCATTCCAAGTAGCTGGAACTATAGGCGCGAGCTACCACGCCCGGCTTATTTTTGATTTATTGTAGAGATGAGGTCTTGCCAAGTTGCCCAGGCAGGTCTCGAACCCGCGGGATTACAGGCTGATTTTTTTTTTTTTTTAGTTGGAGTCTCCCAAGTTGAAGTGCAGTGGCACACTTACGGCCACCCCAGCGTCTACCTGCTGGACTCCGGCGATCAAGTAGCTGGGACTATTGGTACAAGCCACTATGCCTGGCCAATTTTTATTGTTTTAGTAAAGATCAGGTCTCACTATGTTGCCCAGGCTGTTCTTGAACTCCCAGGCTCAAGCAGTCCTCAGAACCATATCTGGCAGATGTTTTAACATTCATTCTTTTCACTGTGTGATGATTCTTTAGAAAGCAGATTTGGATGCAATTTACTCATGTCTGCCGTATATTTCTCTGCTTTTTTGTAACTGTTTTAAACCTTTCATTCACTTTATTTTCCTGGGAACTTAAAATCAAAAATTTGAAAATGATAGGAGAATATTTGGTCATGACTGCTAAATAATAAAACTTTCATATGTCTCCAGTTTAATATCAACTGCATGGCTCAACAAACTACTGTGGTTCTAATCTGCCTGTTTTTGTAAGTGAAATTTTACTGGATTACAGCCACACTCATTACATTTATGTGTCTGTTGGCCCTAGTCTGTGTAGAGGATGTTATCCCTTAGTTTCTACAAACATCTTGATCTCAAAAAATCGTTTCTCTTTTGTGTCTTATTAAACTAACCTGTGGGCTTTCTGTGTGTTTCATTTTCCTCTATTGCAAACTGATCACTTCTTTGAGATTGGTTTTCTTTTTCTTTTTTGCAACAGGATCCCAGTATGTGATAGGGAAGTGATGCTATCTGAAGGTGACATCCTGTTCTCTTCTGTCTTCTCACTCCTTATTTTTGGCTGCCTGGTAATTGGGGATAGTGGGGGAATGGTAGTCTAAATTAAAATAAAATTGGGGCAACCCCTTCGGGTCCCTTCCCACTGTGGGAGCTTTTCTGTCCTCTCAACAAATCCTGCTTTCTAAAAAAAAAAAAAATTAAAACAAAATTGCTTTAGCTGTTTCCCCTTTACTTGAAAAAGAGAGCTCAGGGGGTGGATCCTGGCCTGCAATTGAGAAGTAAAAGTTGTCTAGTCTTCAGCACAGTCTCTTTTGGGATCATGGGATCTTTTGAGAACCAGAAGAAAGCTGTAGAACCACTACTCTGGGGGAGGGGGGATATATTCAGAAATATATCATTACAGAAATCTTAATTTCTGAATTTAGTGGCACAGTGAGGGTCCAGAGATTCCAGGCTAGGAACCCTTCTCCAGCTCCTCTACTAGGAATAGAGCCAGGTGAACAAAAAAGTATAAGTCATTAAGATTGGGAAATAGGCTGGGCATGGTGGCTCACACCAGTAATCCCAGTACTTTGGGAAGCTGAGGTGAGAGAATTGACTGAGCCCAGGGGTTCGAGACCAACCTGGCGAGACCTTGTCTCTACAATAAAATACAAAAATTAGCCAGGCATGGTGGTGTACTCCTGTAGTTCCAGCTACTTGGAAGGCTAAGGTAGAAGGATCACTTGAACCCAGCAAGTAGGTTGAGGCTGTGGTGGCTGTGAGTATGCCACTGCACTCTAGCCTGGGCGACAGACTTACTCAAAAAGAAAAAAGAAAAAAAGACTGGGAAGTAAAGCTGATGGGATTTCAGCTTTTTGGAGTTAATTTCACTCTTACTATATCTGAAGATTTGCTTACTATTCTTTGATCAATTTTTAAACACATATAAATGAGTGACATTAACATTATGTTGTAATATAATCTTGATGACACCCAGTTCTGATATTCGAACTTTGAATACAGACATTTGAGAAAAATAATTGATTTTTGGTGTTGCCAAAATAAATCATTTGCTCAGGACAGATCTAGCTAAGCGTTTCCAAATTGTGAAGGGAAAGAGATCAAGCCCTTGGTGTTGAAACAAGTGTCTGCCAAATCTTGCTTTGTGCTTAGCCATAGAGCTGTGAAGTTCCATTGGTCAGAATGCTTGTTTCTGGTCTTGTCCTTTTTTTTGCTTTTGCATGAACCCTTCCACTTGACCAGTGTTTCCTAAACTCTTCACTGAGTACCATGTCCATGAGTTTGTCTTCTGTGCACATTTCCTGGTGGTTATTCTTTAAGTCAACTCACTTTTTAAACCTTAAATTTATATAAATGCTGTCTGTGAAATATGGATTTAATGTACTAATTATGTTCTATTTGCCACATAAAAGAACATGTAAATATTGGGGGTCTTATTCTCCTAAAATCATCTTTTATCTGTTTAGAAGGCATCAAGTTCATTTTGGGAAACACTCCTCTATGTGCTAGAATTTTAAGAAAGCTTTGACTTTGGACCAGAGTATGAGTGGTGGAAGCTACTTAAGTTAGAAGCACTAGAAGAAAAGAGGGGTCATGGATGGGTGGGTGCTGCCTGCTGAAATACCTCTTGCTTGGGCAAATTATGCGTCCTGAATATGGGTATATTTGGTTGTATGCATGGCAAAGCTTGAGATCATAGCATTGCAGTGAATGATTGGTTTGTTTTTTAGCCTGGCCAAACGTATACACACACACACACACACACACACACACACACACACACACACAGACATGTGTATCTTCACATTTCATAAGTTTTATTTTCTTTTACAGGTTTGATCTTGCTCTTCTACCTAGTTTTTTATGGGTTCTTGGCTGCACTGTTCTCATTTACAATGTGGGTTATGCTTCAGACTCTGAATGATGAGGTTCCAAAGTATCGTGACCAGATTCCTAGTCCAGGTAATTATTTTGTAGTTATCATGACCTTTAATATGACTTATAGTTTATCTTCACCATAAATCTGTTGTATATAGCAGATAGAAAGTAATCACACCTTGGAATTGATAATGTGAAAGGTTTTGAATTTTTTTTGTGTAATATTTACATACTGATGTGAAGACCTTCGCATTCATATACTGATACTTCTTGAGTTTTTTCAGGAGTAAACAGAAATGAATTCTAGTGAAGCCACGTTTGAACAGTATATAGTTATGAATGACTCATTAATACTGTATAGCAGTTTTACTTTGTCTTGAGTAATTTACTTATAAAATGTATATTTTGGGTGTAACTTGTGTTATAGCTTTGGTCTTATAAAATACATTCCTCCTTTTTCTAATTGGTTAGTATTGAAAGTGGTAAGAAATGTTAAATATTGACACATCACTACAGAATAAAATTAATATATTCTTTATATGTTTAATTCTTGGTTGATTTTTTTTTTTAATTCTTCATTATATAAGAGAACATACTTTAGTGTGGTAAAAATTTTAGCCAAAACACTTATTTAAATAATATTTTCTACTTTCTGGTTTTCTTCTTTTTAAACAAACAGTCTTTGAATGTCACCCTGCCTTAATAGTTGGACATGGTGCTTGTCCTCAAGGTGCTTGTAATTCTTAGAGAAGTAGGAAAAATAATGTGCAGAACTTCAGTGTGTATAATTCTAAAGTGTGAACAACTGTCAGAAGGGCAGGTTTTATCTACAAGGGTGGAAGTTAGATAGCAGAAGGAGTGGGGTAAGCAGGCCTGGAAGGTGGGAGTCCAGTAGTAGTTTTCAACCACTGGGCCATATGACGACATCTGGAGATGTTTTTGGTTGCTAAAACCAGAGAGTTGCTACTGTGAGTAGAGGCCAGGAATGTTGTTGAACTAACCGGTTACTTCAGTGCATAGGACCACCCCCTCACAACAAAGAACTACCCAGCCCAAAATGCCATTGGTGACGACATTGAGGAACCCTGATCCAGATCCTTGCTCACTGCATGGACTTGTGATCTATATCAGCAGCCAAACTGAACCAATTTCCTCAACCATTTTTTTCTTAGAACAACTTGTTCTAATGATTTCCTTTGTTTACAGCTAATATTTGCCTAAATATTCTGAATAACTCTTTCATTCTTTTAGTTTATTGGAGCAAGTACCAGAAATTAGCTCCATGTTTCTTTTCCCCTCGTTGCTCATTGTAGCCCTGTTTTCTTTCTATGTAGACTAATTTTTCTATGGTTATTATTTTCTTGTTTTCTAAGTTATGTGGCTATTACCATTGAACAAAATCTGATGTCTCTTGGAACTATTGGACTGTTTATAATTTTATGAAGCAATTACAGCAGTAAAATTTGTTCAGTATTTTTAAGTGTACAATTTTAAAATGAGTTCCTTACAATTATTTACCAAGTGTATTATAGTACTTTAAAATGTATCCTCAGTTTAAATAAATATATATATATACCTATATACATATGTACATACTAATACAAAGTTGTTAGATACAAAGAATGTTTGCAGACTACTAAAAAATTGGTGAAAATTTTAGAGCCGGGCTCGGTGGCTCAGCCTGTAATCCCGTGCCTTTGGGAGGCTGAGGTGAGTGGATTGCCTGAGCCCACGGGTTCGAGACCTCATCTCTGAGCCCTCCTGGGCAGGCGAGACCTCATCTCTACAATAAATCAAAAAAATTAGCCGGGCATGGTAGCACGCACCTGTAATTCCGGCTACTCGGAAGGCTGAGGCGGAAGGATCGCTGGAGCCCAACAGGTCGAGGCTGCAGTGGCCAGGAGTGGCCACTGCACTCCAGTCTGGGCGACAGAGTGAGACTCCAACTCAAAAAAACAAAACAAAAACAAAAAGAAAATTTTAGGATTGTTTTAAAGCCTATGTACAAGGCTGAATTTATCTAGATTAGAGTGCAGTGGCACAATCATATCTCACTACAGCCTCGAATTTCTGGGCTCAAGCTATCCTCCTACCTCAGCCTCCTGAGAAACTAGTACTTATAGGTGTGTGCCACCATACCCAGCTCATTTTTCAGATTTTTTTTTGTAGAGACAAGGTTTTGCTATGTTTCCCAGGCTGTTCTAGAACTCCGGGGCTCAAGTGAGCCTCCTGCCTCAGCCTCCCAAAGCACTGAGATTACAGACATGAGCCACAGCGCCCAGTCAAGGAAGTCTCATATTAAAATTGGAAGCCTTGTCATGAGACTTTTAAAAAAAGAATCGGAGCCTGATTATTTCTTTTTTTTTTTTTTTTTGAGTTGGAGTCTCACTCTGTCGCCCAGACTGGAGTGCAGTGGCCGCTCCTGGCCACCGCAGCCTCGACCTGCTGGGGGCTACGGCGATCCTTCCGTCTCAGCCTTCCAGGTAGCTGGAACTACATGCGCGCGCTACCATGCCCAGCTAATTTTTTGATTTTATTGTAGAGATGAGGTCTCACCTGCCCAGGCGGGTCTCAAACCGTCGGGCTCAGGCAATCCCCTCACCTCAGCCTCCCAAAGGCATGGGATTACAGGCTGAGCCACCAAGCCCTGCTGAAGCCTGATTATTTCTTACAGATAAATGTACTTCTCTTTTCTTTGTTAAGCTCATGCAGCACATTCTATATACATGGGTGTCAACTCTTCATATAAAACTGTGGTTGTCATACTCTAAATTCAGTATGTGAAACCACTTTTTAAATAGAGCAGTGTTTATTGTTGAAGGAAGAGTATTTGCCATAGAGTTTAAAATATATAGACCTCTTTCATGTAAAAGGTTAGCAGTCTTTATGAATGTTTCTGTATATTTGTAATTTAAATGACAAAAGTACTTAGGCTTTGGTGTGCTAAATTTTTCTCCATGTATTAACGACACATGAACAAAACTTTAAAATATTAACTTTATTTTTAAAAATGAATATAGAACTGGGAGAGGTGGCTCCCACACCTTTAATCCTAACACTTTGAGAGGCTGAGGCAGGAGGATCACTTGAGCCCAGTAGTTCAAGACCAGCTTGGGCAACATAGTGAGACCCTGTTTCTATTTTTAAAACGAATATAGGAAGTTTAAGGTAAAGTTGCATCATTTTCAGGTAAGGAACAGAGATTATAATTATCCATAGATAATCAAAATTAGGGGAGTGTTCTTTTTTTTTTTTTTTTTTAAATGGGAGTCTCACTTTGTCACCCAGGCTGGCACATTCACCGCCATTGCAGCCTTGACCTGCTGGGCTCAGGCGATCCTTCCAAGTAGCTGAAACTACAGGTGTGCGCCACCACATCCGGCTAATTTTTTTTATTTATTGTAGAGACAAGGTCTTGCCAAGTTGCCCAAGCTGGTCTCGAATCCCTGGGCTCAAGCAATCCTCTCGCCTCTGCCTCCCAAAGTGCTGGGATTGTAGGTGTGAGCCACTGCACCCAGTCAGGGAAGGCTTCTAATTGGTAATGTCTGAGATGGTTTTGAAGATTTGCATTCTCTTTAATTTTAGATGTTTATACCTTCATAATTGAATAGAATTGGGAAATTCTTAATAGTTTCAGCATACTTGTGAATAGTTTATTTTATTTACTGAAATCTGTCTGCTTTGTAGGGATAAGAGTAAAGAAAAGGAGTAAAAGGTATTTGATTCAGTTAATTTCCCCCTTTTCTTTTATCTCCATATAGGACTTATGGTTTTTCCAAAACCAGTGACTGCGTTGGAATATACATTCAGTGCTTCTGATCCAAGTTCCTATGAAGGGTACATTAAAGACCTTAACAAGTTTCTAAAGCGTAAGTTTATTTTCTTAGAGTAAGGTAAAATATTTTGGTTATTATAGTTATGACTTGTGAGACTATTCTAACTTAAAAAAGACAGAAGCCTAAGCCTAATGGACAGTAGATTTGATTTTTCTATCTGTCCTATCATAAGTACACTAAGTTTATTGAGACATAACATTTATGTCTGCCTTAAAACTAAAAGTATTTATTAATAGAGCAACTCTATATAATATGAAATAATACCTCTTAGTACTTGGATGTTTTGCATCCAATGTAGTGTTTGTGTGGAGGATGGGAAATGATGCTTATCATTTAAAAATATGATGTCTGTATGTGATTTTTAATGTGTCAGTTGTGAGTTTTTCAGAGTTACCAGTTTGTAATGCTCCTTAGCCCTCCTAGCCCAATTTTTCTCCTGTTTTGCTTGGCCTAACCATTCATGTGAATGGTATTAACAATCACATGAGTAATCATCAAATGCCCTGGTCCTCTGGTTCTTGGTCACCTTATCCTCAGCCACACACTTAACAGTTGCTTCCTGGAACATGCTGGAGTCGACTCCATGCCAAGATCACTGACTGAGGCTTTTCTAACAACCTCCTGTCCCTCGAGTTTGCTTAATTTTTCTTCAATATTATTGTGCCTTAGTAGGACTTCCAATTTGCAGATTTTTACTTTGTCTCAGCTTCCATCCCCATCTTCTCCTTTATCTAGCATACCAACTCCATGGGTTATATATCATTTTTACTTCTGCCAGTGCTTAAAATCCCTGGCATCTCGGTCTGTCTGTTACATACTGTGGCAGAACTCTACTCCTGGATAAAACCCCCATTAATTCCTGAATGTGACTCATCCTCCTTTGAGCCTGCCCTGAGCAGCCAGGTGCTGCTGTAGACAGACATTCAGCAGGACTAATTAGCACTGTGAAGACTTTATCACTTCCTTGGAATGGATCTTGGCTGCCTTGCAATCTTACTGAATTTCTCTGATTAATTCTTTGAAGGGATTATTTCCAACCTCTACTCAAGCCCCTGACCTCTTGTCTTGTTCCTGTAACTCACTTTTTTCATGTAACCTGGTTTCTTGCTTCAAGAGATCATAGAAGTACTCAGATAGGAACTCCCCTGATTCCCTCATTACCAGTGAAACACATACATCTGCAGCGGCAACCATTTTGTCTGTCACATCCTCTGGCTCTGATGGGGCAGCTGCCGCTCCTCTCCTGTCACCTGAGGCCACCTGGGCCTCTCCTGTGGATCTCATCCCCTCTTCCTGTCTCACATTTTACTTGTGGTTAGCCTCTCTTTATTGGATCCTTCCTGTCAACTTGCAGAAATCTCCCACTTCCTCTGTCTTAAACCAAAAACCTCTTTTGATCCCATGTTTTTTATTACCTGTCTTTCTAAGTTTCTTTCCCTTGACAGTTAAATATGTGCTTACTATTTAAATACTTTTAAGACGTTTTGTGAAAGTATTATCTGTAGTTTCAAAGTTGAGTAGTAAAGAAAGATTCACAGTGAAAAAAGAAGCGTTCCCTGCCCTGCTCCTTTCTAGCTTCAGTCCTATTAATTTATTCAGGTTTTATTTATTTTGTTTTGAATAGGAGTCTTAACTCTGTTGCCCATGCCAGAACGCAGTGGCACCCTCACCGCCACCACAGCCTGCTGGGCTCAGGTGATCCTTCTACTTCAGTCTTCCAGGTAGCTGGAACCACAGGCACATGCCACCATGCCCAGCTAATTATTTTTTGTTGTTTTTATTGTAGAGATGAGGTCTCACTAAGTTGCCCAGGTTGGTCTTGATCCCCTGGGCTCATGGCAATCCTCTCGTTTCAGCCTCCCAAAGTGCTGGAATTAGAGCCACCGAGCCCGGCTCAAACTCAGATTTTCAAAGGATCACAGAGTCACAGAGGCTGCTTTTAGAAGCTGGGCTATAGGGAGGAAGGAAACAGGGAAACTATTGAGAAGGCTATTATAGTAATCCAGATAAGTGGAGATGGTGGCTTGGCAAGGAAAGGAACATGGAGGCTGTGAGAAATCATTTGACTCTGGATACTTTATTTGTTTTCTAAAGACAGAGTCTTGCTTAGTCGCCCAGGTTGGAGTACAGTGGCATGATCATAGCTCACTGTGACCTCAGACTCCTGGACTCAAGCAGTCATCCTGCCTCAGCCTCCTCCTGAGTAGCTAGGACTACAGGTATGCACTACCTTGCCCTGCTAATTTTTAAAGTATTTTGTGGAGACACGGTCTTGCTATGTTGCCCAGGCTAGTCTTGAACTCCTGGGGTCATTTTAGCAATCCTCCCAAACTACTGGGATTAACGGGCGTGAGTCACCATGCCCAGACTGATTCTGGATACGTTTTCAGTAAGGAATAGCTTTATGCCTTTGAGCTTTTTTTTTTAATGGTGTTTTACTTATGTATCTCTGAATATTACACCATTTCTTGTTCTTTTTTTTTTTTTCAGTTGAACTCTCACTCTGTCATCCGGGCTCAGGCAATCTGTCTATCTGGCTCAGCCTCCTGAGTAGTTGGTATTACATGCACATGCCACCACACCTGGCTAATTTTTATTTTTGTGGCGACAAGGTCTTGCTATGTTGCCCAGGCTGATCTCGAGCTCCTGGAGTCAAGCAGTCCTTCCACCTCGGCCTCCTAAAGTGCTGGGATTACAGGCGTGAGCCACCACACCTAGCTGGTTCTTGGTTTATCACTTTTATATTATACATTGTCTTTACTTAGCTCCCATGCCTCAGACCTTTCCCCCTTCTCAATTCAGTAGTCATTGGTTACTATTTTTAGTTTCATTATTGATTGCCTTTTTATCTTAGTCTTTTATTTTTATTTACTTATTTTTTAGTTGGAGTCTCACTCTGTTTCCTAGGCTGGAGTGCAGTGGCACACTCATGACCACCGCAGCCTTGACCTGCTGGGCTCAGGTGATCCTTCTGCCTCAACCTTCTAAATAGCTGGAACTATAGGCACGCGCCACTATGTCCAGCTAATGTTTTTTTGATTTATTGTAGAGCTGAGGTCTCGCTAAGTTGCCCAGGCTCGTCTCGAACCTGTGGGCTCAGGTAATCCTCCCACCTCCCAAAGTGATGGGATTGTAGGTGTGAGCCACCACATCTCAAATTTTATATGTTATTCGATCATCTGTAAACACTCTTCTGATTCCCTTATTTGTAAACTATCATTTGAGGTATGCTCTTGAGTCTCCTTTTTTCTGGAAAACTCTTTTCTAGAGCTCTTCCAGTCTGTACTGTTACTGTGTAGGGTTCTTACTCGTGGCTGTCCTTTGGGAGAACTTCCTTTCACCACTTTCTTTAGTTGGAGCCACTGTTTCTGGCTCCTTCGTTTTTTCTTAGTCTAGTCCTTAGTTTGATGGGGAGTAATTTTCCGGTAATTATGTAAGCAAAGACACATGAAATGTAAATTTTGAGCCCTTTTGTTTCTGAAAATTACTTCTGCCTTTGTATTTGATAGTTTAAGTAACTTTTTGTAACATAAATATGGACATACCTTGCCTCTACTCTGGTTTAAAGTATTTAGTGGACTGTCATTGCTGTTTGGCAAAACACCCATCCATACCCCCAAACTTCTTTGACATAACTTATAAGACTCTGTATGATCTGACTTCTACCTTGCTTTACTGGAAGCGCTTCCTCCTGGCCTGTTTACTCACATATTTTGCATTCCAGCTCAGTTGCATTTTCCATAGTGTAGACTGCAGTAGCACTACATGTCTTCATACCTCTGCAATTATGAGTTTATACTCAATGT